AATTGTAGTTAAGTGGTAGATTCTCATTATATGGAAAGTACAAATGTTATACTTTTAATAAACTTATTATAACTAGTTAAGTAGTATTTTAGCTTACTGTAGTATTCTAGCTTACAATAATATTCTTGCTTACACTAGTGTTTTAGCTTATGGAGGATCTCAGCTTACTGTAATATATTAAATTACTATAGTATTTTAGGTTAGTGTAGTATTTTAGCTTGCTGGAGTGTTTTAGCTTACTGTAGTATTCTAGCTTACAATAATATTCTTGCTTACACTAGTGTTTTAGCTTATGGAGGATCTCAGCTTACTGTAATATATTAAATTACTATAGTATTTTAGGTTAGTGTAGTATTTTAGCTTGCTGGAGTGTTTTAGTTTACTGTAGTTTTCTAGCTTACAGTAGTATTTTAAATTACTGGAGTATTTTAGCTTACTACAATAGTTAAGCTTACAGTAGTATTTTAACTTACTGTGGTATTCTAACTTACTATATTATTCTACTTTACAGTAGTTGTAGTATTCTAGCTATAATAGTATTTTAGCGTACTGTAATATTCTAGCTTACAGTAGTATTTTAGTTTAATGTAATATTCTAGCTTTGTAATATTTTAGTTTACTGTAGAATTTCAGCTTACAGTCGTATTTTAGTTTATTGTAGGATTTTAATTTACTCTGGTATTCTAGCATACAGTAGCATTTTAGTTTACTGTAGGATTTTAGTTCATAGTAGTATTTAACTTTACAGTAGTTTTAGTTCACTAGAATATTTTAACCTTACAGTTGTATTTTAGCTTACTGAAGTATTTTAGCTAATCGTAGTATTTAACTTTACAGTAGTTTTAGCTTACTGTAATATTTTAACCTTACAGTAGTATTTTAGCTTACTCTAGTATCCTAGCTTACACTATAATTTTAGTTTACAGTAGTATGCGAACTTACTATAGTATTGTAGCCTACTATAAAAATTTAGCTTAAAGAAGTATGTTAATTTGCTGTAGTATTTTAGCTTACTGTAGTATTTTCTTGCATGTAATTGGTTCTCTTCGTGAGGAAATTCTTGCTCCCAGATAAAGCGGGAAGAAAAAGGAATTACACATGGTGCAAAACCAAGTGGTAAAAAATGGAGCATCATAGGATGATGACGTCATGGTTGGTGCACGTGCTGTAGCAGAACTTCCGTGCTCACCACCACCAGAACTTGAAGAATTTGGTACTAACATTCGGATATGGACGTTACTTTCATATGTGGATTTGAGCAGATGAGCCACCCCTACCCAGCAAGTGGCCAATAAAATCATCAGGAAAATTCCAATGCCGGTCATCCTTGTTTGTTCAGTCAAACAGTTACGTCTGGCTACGTCGTTTTGAGGTTGATTTTCAATATCACCAGGATCTTCTGTTTATAAGAAAACTAAAATAACTGATTTCATGAAAATAACATTTTAAATACATTTGTTAAAAGAAGAAACACTTGTAGTATTATTACGCTTTAATAAAAAAAAACAAGAGGGAATCCCCAATAGCCGTGGCACTTGAAATTCTTTCAGGCAGTATTAGGGTAAATTAATCTATGAGACCTCAGGGATAGTCAAATACATCAATAGAAAAGGTTTGACTTCCTGAGTCTAAAACTGTAATTAAATCTGAAATCGGTCAAAAGAAGACGGAGCTAAAAGTTTGTACTTGAAAACTGAGAGCCATTCTATGAGCCGTTAGGCCGCGACTAAAAAACAACTATTGGTATCTTTAAATTGTAGATAATTTACTCAAGCACGAAAATTTATGAAAATATGATTCCTGTGTTTAACAAGATTATATCTTTGAACTGTATTTTACTATAAATGTGTTCATACACTTATTATTACATGTTTAATGCTATATTCTACACTTGCATCATACGCGTAATATTACACCTTGAGTATTATGCGCCGAGCACTTTGCGTGACTAATACTGTTCTTGTATTACACGTGTAATACATAAATAAATCAATATATACTGTAATTGCTCTATACACGCGATACAATAACTTGTGTTGTTTAAGAGAAGGTTCAGACGGAGGAGAGCGAACTTGAAAGACATTGCTAATGATTTGTTGTTGTTAGAGAAAAGCTACACAATGGGCTATCTGTGCGCTATGCGCCACGGGTTTCGAAACCCGATTCTTAGTAGCCTTCTGAGCCATTGGAGGGCCGCTATCAATGAACTGTATCTGTGTTTTGGACGGCGTTTGAGCCGTTCGCGTAGAACTTCACACCAATAAGGTTTTGTGCTAATAGTTCAAAACGCATTGCTAAGAAACAGATGAAGTATTTAACAAGGCATTTCAAATAACTTTTATATTGCTTCTGTTAAGTATTATAACCTACACCTGTGTTAAATATGCAATATTACACCTTTTTTATTTGCAATGGAACACAGTGTAGTGCCACCTCGTGGAAACAATACAAGTTTATAGGTTCAGTTTGTTTTTGGCATTTCAGTATCACTTAATGGAAACAATACATTTGTACATGTTCGTTCCCCCCCCCCCCCCCAGTGTCACATCGGTATGTCTACGGACTTACAACGCTAGAAATTGGGTTTCGATACCCGTGGTGGGCAGAGCACAGAGAGCCCATTGTGTATCTTTGTGCTCTTCAAACAAACAAACAAACTGTACATGTTCAGTTACTGCTCGATCTAACATTGTACATTCAAAGTGATTTTCACTCTAATTCCGGCGCCGGCTTTACACATTCTGCCGCCCTAAGCAACTGTAAATGGGTACCTCCTTAACCAACAAAATATAAGCATTAAGCCCTTCGTCTTTATTCACACACACATACAAACACAATTCTGAAACATTCAGTTTGACCATAAAACCACGCGTTAATAATATAGTAAATGCATCCAAACCATTTTACTTAGGAAAGCATATTATCTTACTGATTATGAAGACGTGACTCGTCTGGCTATTTTTGTTGCGAAGGTATGGGGGACTTCCTTCAGATCCAGGTTTTGGGTAAGTACATGTTCAATTTAAATTGCTGTAAGTCTATTCAATCAATCATGTGTCCTCGTGGAAAGCAAATAATTTTTGATTAATTTCAATTTTGAGAAACTACGCTCTCCTCTCGCAACTGTGACCGGCAGTATCAATAGTATTATCAGAGAAATAAATGCATTTGGGAACATGGACGACATATTGTTCTTGAAAATGTATTCCAACACGTCTTTAGGTTTTGATCCCAAATCCATTTTTAGTTCGTCACATAATTCATTATATGTGAGAGCCATTTCAAGAACGATACATTGGCGAATTATATCGTTTGTTCCCATTTCACCACTTTGGGAATGTTGTGCAGGATTTTGTTTCGTATTAGAATTTCAAATAGCCTGAAACCGAGTTAACTGATGATTTAAATTTAGTAGTTAAATTGTACTTTGGATTTAGTAGTAAAATCCGATATATAGTCAGCTTATGATATATGCCAACAAGATTGATACACACAGTTTTCTTTTTTTAACACAAATCCGTTTTAATATACACACAACAATACAATTTACAATAACAGTTATTACAAATAGTTATTACAAACAATGATTTATAAACAAAAGTTTCACAAACTTACAAGCAATATAAAGTCTTCTTTCTAATCAGGAACTTGTTCGATATCTTATCGAGGGTTCACGAGGAGCGAGTTGATTACGAGTTGACGTTGGTATAATTTACTTCACGGAAGCTAGCTAGCTTTGTCCTTCGTTATTTATCAGACACGCACACACCAGGTTTTCCACCGTGACGTTATGCAATGTTTTCGTAAAAATACTAATGTCTGATGAGAATCTACTGAAGTTAAATGAGTTATAATGTTCGAACTTCGTAAATGCTCCTGGTCAAATATCGAAAGTTTTCCGATTGATAAGTGTTATAACAATCACAGTTATAACTTCCAAAGTTTATAGCAAACTAATAATAGATACTCTCCTCTGGCGCGTCGCGTTGGTCATATTTATAGGCGTGTGGAGGTTTTCTGGAAAATTCAGATTACGTAACAATAAGAAGATAAGCCTTTATGTACATACATATATTGTTGATTCTTACTCTCGGGAATCTTCTACAACTTTGGAGAATAGGCGGGAGTTTCGCAATACATATTTAACACTAAGCTATACCTTTTCTGAATATAAACTTAATCTAAACAAACGTTGATATTAAAATAAATATATAATAACAAATTCGTTACAACGCACCACCGTGTTCTTGAAGCTGTGTAAAACGTTCTTCCACTGGCTGTATAGCAGAATCCAATACCTGATTAAAAAGTTTATTTTGAATTCTGGTTTGGATCATTGATAGGCTTGTATTCTGCCTTCTAGTCGGACTGTTTCTTCTTCTGGTGAGATCGAACTTGTAGTTCAGGAGGAAAGCAGGCATCAATGTTAAGTTCCTCTGCCAACTCCTTTGCATTTTCCAGAACCCTCTGTAAAACTCTTGTCTGTCCAATAATTCTGGAGATAGATTTTTGCTATTTCCAGTTGCGCAACTGCTTGAGATAGATCAATATTCGCTGCCTGCAGTATTTTGCTTGATACTTACATTATATATCGTACCCAGTCACTTGGACCAAAAATTTGAACTTTAGCACTTTACCTGGAATGGGTTTTGCCTCTGCCCGCGATTTAACACCGTTGTTGTCAGTGCGATTACTGTTCTATGTAAGAGTGAAAAGAGCATCGTACATTTCTTCAAGCAGATACCGGATTGCCTTCACTGCTTTAACTCGACTTTCCCATCTAGTTTTACTGGGTGTTTTCACTATGACATTTAGACTTTTGATATGTTCTTTAAGAAAATTCCAACTATATGTGGAATCTGAGAAAAAGGTACATATATTTTGAATCAGGCTGAAAAACTCGACAGCCTCTGTACAATAAATATCTGTATCGGTAAGTGAATGGGAATTGCACGGATTAAAAAAAAAAAAACGTGTATTCACGTCTCATATCTTTTTTTCTACTTCGCTGTTTTTACCTTTCATGTTGGCAACGTTGTCATAGTCCTGTCCTCTTGTGTCTGCAATATCAAGTCCTAACTCACGAAATGTTTGCATAAGTAATTCAGTCATTCTAAGCCTACTTGAATCTTTTAATTCCAGGAATTTCAACAACATAAAATTGCTTTTAGATGTTCACGTCACGTTACCACAAGTCCCTTTCACTGACATATACTGAAATATCAGAGTCATTTGTTCGATTTTACTTATGTCGGGTGTCCAAAACCACCGAGTAGTATTTTGCTATTTTAAGCATCGACAGTACCGTTTCCATAATCTCTGTTGTCAATACTTGGATGATCTCGTTTTGAATATTTTTATCTAAGTAATGGCCGTGGATCTCGTGTGGTGTGATTCTTCCGAAATGTTCTTTCATCACAACATCAAAAATACCTATTATTTCCACAGATTCGAGATAATCCTTTTTTATTTTGCTCGAACAGTTTATTTTAACACCCACGTAGTGTTGTGTGTCGAGTACCGAGTACTCATATTAAGGCCATAAGCCTTTCCAACACTTTATGCTAGTGTTGCGTTTTTGCTTTAATAATGCGTTGATTTTCATCAGCAGCATATTGTGTTGGAATTTTGTCTTGCTCAAGTTCTTTCCATTTTTCGTATGATTCTAGGTGACTGGGTGAATTTTCTTGTTTGTTTAAAAACTGTAGACAAATTTTTCTAATCTTGAGTACTGTTCGACGCAAGAACAAATATTGCGCTAGACAAGAAGATTCTGTAACTAAGACAAAATGTTACATTTTTGAATAAACCAGCCACGGCCTCTCTACTTCATCTCAGTTTGCCAACACTCGCATGCAATGTTTAGCAGAGAACCTTCTGTTGCTACTGTCTATAGGAAAATTAAACCATTTTAGTTGTTCTGGACATTGTCCAAGTTCACAGTCCACTTTAGACTATCTTGCAAACAGAAGAACCTGAGGTGTAAGTTTCTGTTGTGATGTCACCCACATTACTATGGAAGTTATCTTCTTCAACTACATCTTGATGTTCCGTTTTTGCCGCTCTCGGCAATTGCCTACTTCGCCTACACATTAAGGTCTGGCCTGCCTAGTTCTCGACTCTTTTGTTTCAGCTGTTTTTAGTTACACGTGACATAAATCAACATTATTTAGTTTTTCATTTCGAACTTTTTTAAGTTACATGAGTTGGGAAGTTTTTTAATACCCCCCCCCCCCGCTTTAAAATGTCATCATTAAATGTTTAAATATCGTAACAATTCTACGATTTTGTAACAATAAATACTTACTAAACTTTGATTAAATTTCAACATACGCTTCTATCTAACTTAAACACAAAGTTTAACCTTATTTGTTGATTCATCATTGCTTGCAAGGTAGC